AACAGAAAATCAAACACCACATATTCTCTCTCATAGGTGGGTGTTGAACAATGAGAACACATGGACACAGGGAGGGGAGCATCACACACTGGGGTCTATTGGGGGGAACTAAGGGAGGGACAGCGGGGGTAGGGAGGTTGGGGAGGGATAACATGGGGAAAAATACCAGATATAGGTGACGTGAGGATGAAGGCAGCAAACCACATTGCTGTGTATGTATCTATGCAACAATCCTGCATGATCTGCACATGTACCCTGGAACCTAAAGTGCAATAAAAAATACATATAAAATTAATAATTAAAAAAAAAGAAAAAGCCTTAGCACAGAGCCTGGAATACAAAAACTGCCCAATATAAACGATAGCCTTCATACTAAGTGGCCTGTTGGCCTCTTCTTCGAAACTGTTTGTTCCAAAAGGGCCCAAAGACAGAAATAACTACAGAGGTATTGAATATTCAGACTATACCAAGGGAAAGGTGCATTTTTTCTTTTGAGAGCCACTGACCCCTGATAGAAAAGGATCAATTAAAGTCCTTGTAAAAAAAACTAATTTGCTTTTTTCCTTCAGGGAAATATAAAATATTGAATTTACCTACTTTAAAGAACAAGGAACATAGCCCTTTACTCAATAAATACCTTGAACAGATTTCTAGAACTTTAAGGGACCTCAGAGACCATCCAGTATAATTTCCTTATTTAATAAATGAGACAGCTGAGGGCCAGAAATAGAAACTGACTTCATTATAAGCACCCTCCTTGACCATAACAGCCCACAGGAATAAACCTTTTACTTCTAAATCTAACTCCTAGCATTTTTCTACTGTACTATATACCTAGTTGGTCAGTAAAACAACAGGGAGAGGAAGAGAGAAAGAGGGAACCAAGAAGAGGGAGAGAGAAAGAGGAGTTGGGAAGAGAATGAGAATGATAGAGAGGAAAGTAGAGAGAAAAAATGAGAAAAAGAAATGAAGCGTTCATTTCCAACAGCAATGGGTTTCATTAAATGTACATCATTTCAAGGTAACCTGCTTTTTGAGAGGTCCTGTTGTTCTGATTGAACGTCTGAATGAATGACGGGACCTCATCACCAGCTGGGAGTCTATTGCAATAATCTGGGAGAGAAATGAAATGAATTAGACTATGGTAACAGCAATAGGTTGAATTTGGGATATATTTCAGAGAGATAGAGTGATATATTGTTGGACTGGATGTTGGGAGATAAGTGAATGGAAGGTCAAAAAATGAATCCAAACCTTTTAATTAATTGAGTGGATGGTTCCCCATGTACTGAGATGTGGAAATCTTTGGATATGTTATGTTTGACATGCCCAGGAAAAATTCTGAGTGTACAGTTGGATATTTGAGTCTGGAGCTCAGGAAAGAGAGCAAGCCTGGAGATGTAAATTTGGGGGTTGTCTGTATAAAGATATTTATGGGACTGGATGAGCTCATCCAGGGATGGGATGAAAATAGAAAGGAGAAGAAGGCTGAGTCCTGAGACTAGAGTACTCCATCTTTTGGAGGGCTGGCAGATGAGAGGGTACCTGTGAATGAGACCCAGAAGTTATTACAGGGGAGTATTCTGAAGATGTGGGTTATTGAGGTTTTAGCAAGTAATTTGATAGAATAATTTATAATGGAAGAACAGAATACGGAAGAATGTGGGTTAGACAGTAGGGCAGGCAGGTGGGTTAGAACTGTGTGTACAAAGTAGTGTCAAAGAATGAATTGGTGGAAACTGTAGGAGAGTACCTCAAGTCTTGCATTTGTCCCATGAACTTGGTTAAAAATATTCTGATAGAAAGAATTTGGTCAGATTTGCCGAGATACAAAGGTGGAGATACAAAGGTTTTTATGTCAGATTGATTAGTAGATTTTGAAAGACCTGACAAGCCATAGTAGATGCTGTATGTAGAAGTCTGTTGTACTAAACCATGCTTGGTGTGATGAGGGCCTGGTCTAGAAGGGTGGCTGTGGGAATGGAGGATTGGATTCTAGAAACACTTGAGAAGGAAGAGTTGGCATAATGTTGTGACCGGATTGGATATAGGTGATGACAGAGAGGAAATAGGCCCAAGTGCACTATAATTAGTTTATGTTTTTAGTGTGTGAATAATAAGAATAATTAAAAAAAACCATGAGTTAATAGCTCATTGTTTGCCAGAACCATTCAAACTCTGATAGTTTCAATTTATATACTTTGTTCTGTATGTGGAAGGGCTAATAAAAATTTAGTAAAAATAATTATAGTGAGTTGGCTCTTCCAACCTTAAAAGATTACTAATTGACCAGCGAATGTGTTTCTGTTTGTATAAAAGCTGATAGCTGAAGCCAGATCGTGTAAGATCAGTTCAGACTTCACATTTTGATGGCTTGCCAGTTGAATATTGATATGACTGCATTTATTTATGAGGTTGTTGATCATTCGAATTGCCCTGTGAGGGCTTGAGTTATTTTACAGAACCATTCTCTCCTGCTTAACTAAATGACATTAATCTTACCCTTCAGAAAGCAGTGACTTTCAGCCAAGGAGAGAGTTCTTCCCTGTATTGAAGACGCTCTTAGTGATTGGGATGTGTGAGTGCCTTGCTTGAAAAGTCTGGGGCTTTTTCCACGCCTCAGAGACTTTGCTAAGCTTCTTAATGGGGTTGACCAGTTGGAGTAGCTACGTCCAGCTTTCTTAAGGGAAGAAATGGATTTCAAGCACTTGTTTATGTAAGCACTCATTTCCATACAATTGTTTTCCTTCCCTGGTTAAACGCAAGTATTCCTTTGAAAGAAATAATTATTATTGCTTTTAAAACTCTTAAATTTTGACTTTTTCAATAGTCCCTACAAAATTAGAGATTTTTTTTGCCATTTAAACTATTCAAGTTTGAAAGTTTTACTGTGTATGTCATTTTGTGCAATTTCTACCTAATTTGCTTATATAAGAACATCAACCTCTTAAGCTGAGAGAAAGGTTTCTACCTCCCCCTGCCAAGTTCTGAACATGAAGACATATATTTAGATGAGTTTAATAAGCATTAGTATAGTAGAAATTTAGAGCTGGAGAGGATGTTAGATATTATCTATTCTGCTTAATTACTTTTTCAGATGAAGGAACAGAAGTCTAAAGAGGTGAATTATTTGCCCAAGTTCATACACCTGATGGATGGCAGAGATGCTATGTTCTCACTGCAGCCTGTCAGGTGGTACATGATTTTGGTTTGTCCCATTACTGCTGATCTTAAGTTTGATCACTTGATTAAGGTGGTGTCTGTCAAGAATTTTTCCTATAAAATTATTCTGTTTCCTTTCGTAATTATAAAATGTTTTGTGACTTTCAGCTAAGTAGAGAGTTCTTCCCCGTATTGAAGATACTCCTAGTGATTGGGATGCATGAGTGCCTTGCTTTAAAGGTCTGGGGCTTTTCCCGTGCCTCAGAGACTTTGCTAAGCTTTGAGGCTATGTATACTTCTTTCCTCATCAAACTTTTATTGACTCTTATCCATTGATGCTTCTTGGTTGAATTAATTTTTACTATGATGTTTACCAAATGGTGAGTTTCATCATTCCTTTTACAAAGATTATTTTGAATTGTACTGTAAGGAAAATTTTTCTCTTTCCTGTTTTGGACTCATATCGAATTTCATAGATTTATATTTTATTCAAGGGGTCTATTTCTATTACTACTTATTGATGTTCAGATTTTCCCAGACAGGCCAGTGGGAAGTGCTTCAAGCTGGTTTCTATGTACTTTGACATGTCTCCATAATTTTATTTTGATCATTTAATTTTTTTCATTGTGGCAAAATACATATAACATAAAATTTACCATTATAACCATATTTTTATAACTTCTATTTAACTTCATATATAACTTCATTATAACTTCTATTTTTTAATTAGAAGTTTTGTTATTTAAACTATTTTGACAACTCCGTGGCATTAAGTGCCTTCAAGATATTGTGAAATCATCACTACTAATATCTAGTTTGAGAAATTTTTGTCACCCCGATGGAAACCCCATAATATTAATAATTAAGCATTCATTCCCCATTTCTGCCCTCCTGGCAACCACAAATCTGCTTTCTGTCTCAATGGATTTGCCTATTCTGGATATTTCATATAAATAGAGTAATACAATATACGGTCTTTTGTATCTTCCTTTACTTAGTGTAATGCCTTTAGCGTTCATCCGTGTTGTAGTATGTACCAGTACTTCATTTCTTTTTATAGTTCAATAATATTCCATTGCATGGATATGCCACAATTTGTTTCTCCATTCATCTATTGATGGATATTTGGGCTGTTTCCATCTTTTGGCTATTGCGGATAGTGCTGCTATAAAAATTCATACATGTTTTTGTTTGAATGCTGTTTCCAATTATTTTTGGTATATACCTAGGAGTGGGATTGCTGGATCATATCATAATGTTTAACCCATTGAAGAACATCCAAACTGTTTTACACAGTGGCTGCACTATTTTACATTCCCACCAGCAATATATGAGAGTTCCAATCCAATGTCATCACTTCCTCACAAACACTGATTCCCACCTCCCCATCTTTAATTGCTATCCTAGTGAGTGTGAAGTGGTATCTCATGTGGTTTAGATTTGCATTTCTCTGATAACTAAAGATGTTGAAACTGTTTTCATGTGCTTTTTGGCCATTTATATATCTTTGAAGAAATGAATACTCAGCTCATTTTAAATAAGGTTGTTTCTTTTTTGTTGTTAAATCGCATGAATTCCTTATGTATTCTGGATACTAGATCCTTGTCAGATAGATGCTTGCAGATATTTTGTCCTGTTCTGAAGGTTGTATTTTCACTCTTGATACTCTCTTTGATGCACAAAACATTTTAAATTTTGATGAAGTCCAATTCATCTATTTTTGTTTTTGTTGCCGTGCTTTTGGTGTCATATCTAAGAAACCATCGACAAATCCAGTCATGAAGATTTACTTTTATGTGTCCTTCTATGGTTTTATCTTTATCTTTATTTTTTTTTAGACTGAATCTGGCTCTGTCACCTAGGCTGTAGTGCAATGGCGTGATCTCAGCTCACTGCAACCTCAGCCTCCTGGGTTCAAGTGATTCTTCTGCCTCGGCCTCCCGAGTAGCTGGGACTACAGGTGTGTGCCACCAGACCTGGCTAATTTTTTGTATTTTTAGCAGAGATGGGGTTTCACTGTGTTAGCCAGAATGGTCTTGATCTTCTGACCTCGTGGTCCGCCCACCTTGGCCTCCCAAAGTGCTGGGATTATAGGAATGAGCCAGTGTGCCCAGCCAAGTTTTAAAGTTTAAGGGCATACATTTTGATATTTGATCCGATCACTTCTTAAATGTAGACTAAACCAACATTCTGAGCTTCCCCCTTGCCATCTTTGGAAAGAGGCATTTTCCCAAGAAACCCTGATGCTTTTTTAGCAAATAATGATGTGCAGAAATGAAGATCTGGGCACTAGGTGTGCTCAAACCTTTTGGGTGTTGATCCTCTTAGCCTCTCTGAATTGACAAAGTTCTATATACAATATACCTGCATACACATATTGAAAACCATGAGTTCCCACCCATGCTTCCAATTCCAAGCCAACATCATTGAGTTCATTCTACCTTTCTCCTTTTATTTATAACTCATCTCTGAAGTGAAAACCTGGCTTTTATTATTCTCGACATATTTATTTATTACAGAATGAGTATCTCTTATCTGAAATGCTTGGGACTGAGGAGCATTTTGTTTTACTTTTTCATTTTTTTTGATTTTGGAATATTTGCATTATACTTACCGCTTGAGCTTTCTGAATCCAAAAATCCAAACTCTGAAATGCTTTCATTAGCATTTCATCCACCACCACTGTTCCCCCTGCACAGATGATCTCACTCTACTTGGCTTTTGACATTTTGTGCTAGGCTATGACCACCTCTCTCCTGAGTAGACACTCTCTTCCTTTGATTTAGCTTGGACAACCCATGCTAAATTTGGGATGTTCAGATTTAGCATGGTGCTAAATGGGTGCACAGATGATCTCATTTTGTTCTAGCTTTGATACCCCATGCTGAGTTGCTGCTGCTACTTTTCTCCCCACAGCCTGCAGATACCTACCTTGCTTGGCCCTATCTAATTGATTTTGGACTGAATTATTCATGAAGGAAGGAGGAAGAAAGGAAGACAGGAATCAGTTTCCAGGCTAGTCATTCTTTTTGTAATCTTACAACTTTTCACTGTGTTTGAGGCACTTCTTGCTTTTCTATATTCTCATATAATTATTTTCATGTCTTTGGCAGATGGATTAGCTGGCTATAAAATTCTAGCTTAACTGTTTTTTTTTCTTTTCACTACATTAAAAAAATAAACATTTTAAAGGGAATTATTTTAGTTTTACAGAAAAGCAGATAATACAAAGTTTTTGTGTACTCACCCATATTTGTCCGGATGTTAACATCTTAGATGACCATCTCTCTGCACTTTTAAAATACCATTTCATTAACTTCTTATATCTACTTTTGCTGACAAGGAATCTACTGTCAATACAATTGTCACACTGTTTTAGGTTGTTTGTCTTTTCTCGCTGATGAATTTTAAGACCGTCTCTTTACCCTTCATTTCAACATTTCACTTCAGTATGTCCAAGCTTGGTTTTATTTGTATTTATTCTACTTAGTATTTGGATTATACTGATCTGATGATTAATTAATTAATTAAGACTTAATTAATTTCTTTAATTCTGGAAAATGATCAGTAACAATTTTTTTTTTTGAAGCCGTTTCACCGCATCCTCGGCCTCCTGGATTCAAGTGATTCTCATGCCTCAGCCTCCCAAGCAGTTAGGTATGTGCCACCATGCCCAGCTAATTTTTGTATTTTTAGTAGAAATAGGGTTTTGCCATATTGGCCAGCCTGGTGTCAAACTTCTGGCCTCAAGTGATCTGCCCACCTCGGCCTCCCAAAGTACTGGGATTACAGGCATGAACCCATCCAACAACAAGTTTTTCAAACATTTATTCCTTATCATTCATTTCAGTTTCTTCTTTGGAAATCCTATTCATTAAAATATTTAAATCTCTCAATCTATCTTTCACATTTCATACACTGCTATTTAAATTCTATCTATCTATCTATTATCTCTTCCTCTCTCTCTGTCATCTCTGTCTAAAAGTTGGGGAGGACAGTATAGTTCTGTTTGTTTGTTTGTTTGTTTATTTATTTATTTATGAGACAAGGCCTTTCTCTGTTGCCCGGGCTGGAATGCAGTGGCATGATCATAGCTCATGGTAGCCTTAAATTCCTGGACTCAAGCCATCTTCCTGTCTAAGCCTCCCAATAGCTGGACTTACAGGCATGTGCCACCATGTCTGGCTAATTAAAAAAATTTTTTTGTATAGATGGAGTCTCACTATGCTGCACAGGCTGGTCTCAAAGTCCCGGCTTCAAGTGATGCTCCCACCTCGGCCTCCCAAAGTAGTGAGATTATAGGTGTGAGCCATGGTGCCCAATCCTGTTTTTGAATTTTAAAAGTCAATCAATATATATTATTTTCTAAATTTCTAATTGTTTCTTTTAAATGTTCACTTATTTCTGTGGCATTTTAAAACCTGTTTTTTTGGTTGAAGAATTTTGTATTCTCTTTTTTGCAATGCTCACTGTTTATAATTTAAAGTCTTTGTTCAGCTGTCCAATAAAATTAATTTTCCAGACTGAATGCATGATTGTTAATTTTGTTGGCTTTCTTTTGTAGCAACCTATTTTTGTTTCTGGAAGTTTTGGTTTACCAGTAATTTTGAATAAGGCTTTTTTTGTTTGGTTTTTCATTTGTCTCTCTTTCTCCCATCTCTACCCATCTGCCTCTCTGTTCAACATTTTTGCAGTTCTCCCTTACAACGTCTTTCAGAACCCTAAATCTATAATGAGGCTTTAAATTAATGGCTGGTTGGTTGGAGTTCCTGCCCTGTAGTGATGGTAGAGTACCCAATAACCAGTCATATGGCCAAGGAGCAGTTTGGCTCAGTTCTTAGTGGCAGGGCTGTGGGTTTTTAAGCTATAGTGTATGCATTCTCCACAGGGGCAATGTTGCACCTGACCAGTTAAAATTTGATTCTTAGAAAGTGAATAATCTTGGATATTACAATGGTTTGTGGATCTTCAAAGCACAACCCTACCTCCTAAAAATTGTATTCCTTAGCATTTAATTTCTCTCACTAGGAAAAATTTAAATAACATGTATCTTTTTAGAGGGATAATAATGAAAATAAAAGTTGAGAAACACTGCAACACCTCTAAGCAGAAGTTGGCTGTTTTTTTTTTCAGTCTACTTCCTTAAGCAGCGAGCCCGATTCTGCCTTATCTATAGAACTTTAAAAACTCCTATGGAGCTGAGCTTCTGGCCACCAAGGCCCCAGCTTCAGCCTGGCTCTCAGTTTTCAGCTCTGTTCCATGGAGATGTTTATCTTTTTTTGAATATGACACATTTTCTCCTTTTACATACTTTATCCCATATTTTCACATATTTGGATCATAAAAAGGAAATCAAACCATGAACTCATTGCCCTCTCTTGATGAAATCAATATCTATTATGTTATTTACCAACTACTATTCTGATGACCATAAAGTTTTTTTTTCTCTTAACTTTTGTGACTTACAATACAGAAATATCCAGCTGTTAGATAGCAATTGTTTTCAACCAGTTATTTATGCTTTAGTTTCTAGCTTTGTATTTTTGAGGTTGCTAAATAAGGTAAATCCTCTTTAGTGGTGTCGTCTTCAATGAAAGGTTTTGGATTTTGCAGTTGGAAATTTATGGCTGAATTTCTTTTCTTTTTTTTTTTTGAGATGGAGTCTCGCTCTGTTGCCCAGGCTGGAGTGCAGTGGCATGATCTTGGCTCACTATAACCTCTTATGGCTGAATTTCTCTCGGGTATCATTCAATGCATTTACAATATATTGTTTGACAACATTTGTAATTGTATTTCGAATCCTTCTTCCATTGTTTCAATCAGGAGAGCATGAACTTCGACCTTCATGTTTCATCTGGCAGTATAGCACAGGGGTTAAAGGGCAGAGTGCTCTGTTTGCAAATTCTAGCTGTGCCATTCATTTGCTAGCTGTTTGCCTTGGGCAAGTTATTAAATCTCTCCATGCCTCAGTTTTCTTATATGTAAAATGGGTTGATTATAATAAGAGTAGTTCCTATCTCATAAAACTGTGTGAAACATTAAATGTATGAATATATGCAAAACTCTTAGAACAGACGTAAGATAAGCACTCAATAAGCATCAATTTTTGCATTTTTCCCCATGCTTTGCCTCTTGTTTTTAAGCTTTTATATTTCTGAGAATATCTTGACTTTCTCTCCCAAACTTTATATTGAAATTTTACCTTTGGCTATTTATTTATTTATTTTGGCTATTTTATTTTTAATTTCCAGGTGCTTTTTCTTAATTTTTTACTTTTCTTTTTTCATACCTCCCTGTTATGTTATTATACAACATCTTTATGAAGTCTCTCTTTTTTGCCTTTAAAAAATTCAAAAGTTTTTTTTGTGAATACGTAGTAGGTATATTTATTTATGGGGTAATGAGATGTTTTGGTACAAACATGCAATGCGAAATAAGCACATCATGGAGATTGGAGTATTCATTCCCTCAAACATTTATCCTGAGTTACAAACAATTCAACAGACTCTTAAAGTTAGTTAAAAATATATAATTAAGTTATTATTGGCTGGGCGTGGTGGCTCACACCTGTAATCCCAGCACTTTGGGAGGCTGAGGTGGGTGGCTCACTTGAGATCAGGAGTTTGAGACCAGCCTGGCCAACATGGTGAAACCCCGTCTTTACTAAAAATAGAAAAATTAGCTGGGTGTGGTGCCGTTCACCTGTAATTGCAGCTACTTGGGAGGCTGAGGCAGGAGAATTGCTCGAACCCAGGAGGCAGAGGTTGCAGTGAGCTGAGATCATGCCATTGCACTCCAGCCCAGGCAACAAGACTGCAGCTCTGTCTCAAGAAAAATAAAGTTATTATTGACTATAGTCACCCTGTCGTGCTATCAAATAGTAGGTCTTAATCATTTTGTTTTTACCTGGCAACCAACTCTACCTCCTTCGAGCCATCCACTACCCTTCCCAGTCTCTGGTAACCATCCTTCTACTCTGGACGTTCATGAGTTCAATTGTTTTGATTTTTAGATCACACAAATAAGTGAGAATGTGTGATATTTGTTTCTCTGTGCCTGGCTTATTTCACTTAACATAATGATCTCCAGTTCTATCCTTGTTGTCAATGATGGGATCTCATTACTTTTTATGGCTGAATAGTATTCCACTGAGTATATCTACTGCATTTTTTTATCCATTTATCTGCTGATGGACACTTAGGTTGCTTCCAAATTTTAGCTAAACAGTGCTGCAACAAACATAGGAGTGCAGGGATCTCACTGATATACTGATTTCCTTTCTTTTGGGTATATACCTAGTAGCGGATTGTTGCATCATATAGTAGCTCTATTTTTAGTTTTTTGAGGAACCTCCAAAAGTTCTCCGTAGTGGTTGTACCAAATTACATTCTTACCAATATTGTACAAGCATTCTCTTTTCTCCACATCCTCTCTAGCATTTGTTATTGCCTATCTTTTGGATAGAAGCCATTTAACAGGGCTGAGATAATATCTCATTGTAGTTTTGATTTGCACTTCTCTGATGATAAATGATGTTGAGCACTTTTATATAAGCCTGTTTGTCATTTGTATGTCTTCTTTTGAGAAATGTCTATTCAGAACTTTTGCTCATTTTAAGATCAGAGTATTAGATTTTTTTCTATAGAGTTTGAGCTCTTTATGATTATTAATCCTTCGTCAGCTGAGTCATTTGCAAATATTTTCTCCCATTCTGTGGGTTGTCTCTTCATTTTGTTGATTGCTTCACTGTTTGCTATGCAGAAGCCTTTTCACTTGATATGATCTTGTTTGTCCATTTTTGCTTTGGTTGCCTGTGCTTGAGGGGTATTACTTGAGAAATCTTTGCCCAGTCCGGTATCCTGGAGACTTTTTCCAGTTTCATAGTTTGAGGTCTTAGGTTTAAGTCTTTAATCCATTTTGGTTTGATTTTTTATATGGTGAGAGATACAGGTCTAGTTTCATTCTTCTGCATATGGATATCCAGTTTTTCCAACACTATTTATTGAAGAGACTGTCTTTTCCACAGTGTACATTTTTGGCACCTTTGTTGAAATGATTTTGCTGTAGATGTATGGATTTGTTTCTGGGTTATCTATTCTATTCCGCTGGTCTATGTGTCTGTTTTTATGCTGTTTTGGTTACTATAGCTCTCTAGCATAATTTGAAGTCAGGTAATGTGATTTAACCAGTTTTGTTCTTTTTGCTTAGGATGACTTTGGCTAGTCTAGGCCTTTTGTGGTTCTTTTTTATTTTCTTTTAATTTTCCACTGCAAAAGGCCAAACAGCTTACCTTTTGTGGTTCTGTACTACTTTTAGGATGTTTTTTTCTATTTCTGTGAAGAATGTCATTGGTATTTTGATAGGGATTGCAATGAATATGTAGATTATAGATGGCTTTGGATAGTATGGACATTTTTAACAATACTGATTTTTTCCTATTTGTGAACATGGAATATTTTTTCTTTTTTTGGTGTCCTTTTCAGTTTCTTTCATCAGTGTTTTATAGTTTTCATTATAGAGATATTTCACTTCTTTGGTTAATTCCTAGGTGTTTAATTTTATGTGTGGCTGTTGTAAATAGGATTACGTTTTTGATTTCTTTTTTACATTTTTTGCTGTTCACATATAGAAACGCTACTGATTTTTGTATATTGATTTTTTAATCCTGCAACTTTACTGAATTTCTTTATCAGTTCTAATAGTTTTCTTGTGGAGTCTTTAGGGTTTTCCCTAAAGATATAAGATTATATTATCTGCAAACAATGATAAGTTGACATCCTCCTTTCCAATTTTGATGCTTTTTATATCTTTATCTTGTATCATTGCTCTAGCTAGGACTTCCAGTACCATGTTGAATAACAGTGGTGACAGCGGGCATCCTTGTCATGTCCCAGATCTTAGAGGAAAGACTTTCAGTTTTTCCCCATTCCTTATGATTCTCACTGTCTGTCATATATGGCTTTTATTATGTTGAGGTATTTTCCTTCTATCCTGTCTTTTGGGAGTTTTTATCATGAAGGGATTTTGACTTTCATCAAATGCCTTTTCAGTGCACCTATTGAAATGATCATATGATTTTTATCCTTCATTCCTTTGATAGGGTGTGTCACATTGATTGATTGGCATATATTGAACCATCCTTGCATCTCAGGAATAAATCCCACTTGGTCATGTTGGATATCTTTCTAATGTATTGTTGAATTGTTTGCTAATATTTGATGGAAGAATTTTGCATCAATATTCATCAGAGATATTGGCCTATAGTTTTCTTTTTTTGATATGTCTTTGTCTGGTTTTGGTATCAGGGTAATACTGGTCTCATAGAATGAGTTTGAAAGTATTTCCTCCTCCTTTATTTTTTGTAATAGTTTGGGTAGGATTAGTATCAGTCCTTCTTTAAACGTTTGGTAGAATTCAGCAGTAAAGCTATCAGGTCTCAGGCTTTTCTTTATGGAGAGACTTTTTATTATGACTTTAATCTTGTTGCTTGTTATTGGTCTATTCAGGTTTTGGATTTCTTTCTGATTCAATCTTGGTAGGTTGTATGTGTCTATGAATTTGTTAATTTCTTCTAGATTTTCCAGTTTATTGACATATAGTTGCTCATAGTAGCCACTAATGATCCTCTGAATTCCTGCAGTATCAGTTGTAATGTCTTCTTTTTCATTCCTGATTTTATTTATTTATCTTGTTTTCTTTGTTAGTCTGGCTAAAGGTTTATTATTTTTGTTTAACTTTTCAAAAAACCAACATTTTGTTTCATTGGTTATATATATATATATATTTTTTTTTAGACAGAGTCTTGCTCTGTCACCCAGGCTGGAGTGCATTGGCATAATCTTGGCTCACTGCAATCTCCACCTCCCAGGTTCAAGTGATTCTCCTGCCTCAGCCTCTCAAGTAGCTGGGACTACCAGTGCGTGCCACTACACCTGGCTAATTTTTGTATTTTTAGTAGGGACAGTGTTTCACTATGTTGGCCAGGCTGGTCTTAAACTCCTGACTTCAGGTGATCTGCCAGCCTTGGCCTCCCAAAGTGCTAGGGTTACAGGTGTGAGGCACCACACCTGGCCTTCTATTGTTTTTTACGTATCATTTAATTTCATTTGTTTCTGCTCTGATCTTTATTTTTTTTTCATCTACTAATTTTGGCTTTGGTTTGCTCTTGCTTTTCTAGTTCTTTAAGATGCATCATTAGATTGTTTATTTGAAGTTTTCCCTTTATTTTGTTGTAGGCACTTATAGCTATGAATTTCCTTCTGAGTACTGCTTTTGCTCTGTCCTATAGGTTTTGGTATGTTGTGTTTCCATTATCATTTGTTTCAAGAAAAATTTCAATTTCCTTCTAAATTTCTTCATTGATCTACTGGTCATTAAGGAGCATGTTGTTTAATTTCCATATATTTGTATGGTTTCCTCTTATTATTAATTTCTAGTTCTATTCCATCATGGTCAGAGAATATGCCTGATACTATTTCAATTTTTTTTGAGTGTTTTAAGGGGTGTTTTGTGGCATAACATATAGTCTGTCTTTGAGAATGAGCCGTGTGGTGAGGAAAAGAATGTGTGTCCTGTAAATATCTATTAGATTCATTAGGTTTATAGTGCAGATTAAGTCTGGTATTTCTTTGTTGATTTTCTGTTTGGAAGAATTGTCCAATGCCGAAAGTAAGGTGTTAAGTCTCCAGCTATTATTGTATTGGGGCCTATCTCTCTCTTTGGCTCTAATAATATTTGCTTTATATATCTGGGTGCTCCAGTATTGGGTGCATATATAATTGTTATACCTTCTTGTTGAATTGACCCCCTTATCATTATATAGTGAGCTTTTTTGTCACTTACAGGTTTTTTTTTTTTTTTGTGATGAAGTCTCATTCTGTCTCCCAGGCTGGATTGCAGTGGTGTGATCTTGGCTCACTGAAACTTTGGCCTCCTGGGTTCAAGCAATTCCCCTGCCTCAGCCTCCTGAGTAGCTGGGACTACAGGCGCCCACCACCATGCCCAGATAATTTTTGTATTTTTAGTAGAGATGGGGTTTCACCATATTGGCCAACCTGGTCTCCTTGTGATCCACCTGCCTTGGCCTCCCAAAGTGCTGGGATTACAGGCATCAGCCACTGTGCCCATTCATATTGTATAGTTTTTGTCTTGAAATCTGTTTT